CCGGCGCCTTCTTTGCCCCCGTGGGGAGAAAGGCTCGTCGCGAAGCTCTGCACACGCCGGTGATGTGCAGAGCTGCCCCCAGGGCACCGGTGCTCGGACAGCAGTGGGAGCAGCCACCATCACCTGAGGTGGCGTTTCTGCCCCGTCTCAGCCTGGTCGCCGTTATTACACTTTTTAAAAAAAAGACCAGTACTTCTGGTAAGTTCACCATGGAAAAAGATAGATCAATGTTTTCAGCACCTGGAGGAAAGACTCCCTTTTCTGAGAGAGATTCGTGTGATGTGTATTCCAAATATTGGCAAGAGGACGCTGGCGCGCTGTAGTGAATGCCCGGGCAGCTGGTGTCTCCAGTTACGTTTCCACAGGGTGTCTGCTTAATCCCGCGCCCTGTTGGTGCACTTCTCTTAGCAGCTTGGGTTGGTGAAAAGGTAAAAGGTAACGCTCAGTTTTTGCCAAAGGAAAGGACACGAGTAAGTCTTCTTCCACTTACAGAAAAGCTTCTGTCGTTTAAGGAAAACCTTTTGTAAGGAAATGTAAGGAATAAGCACATCATTACAGAAAAAATGCTGAGTGATGGTACTAATGTGGAAACGATATGTCAGGCTTTGGCTTGTGGTAGAATTGCCTCTTAATGGAGATGGGATTCATGGGTTCAAAGTTCAAAGTCAAATCTACTGTCCCAGGTTAGAGTAAAATGTCTAACACTGTTTCTCAAATCAGGAATTGAGAGAGCTTACCATCTGTGATCATCAATTTGTAGGCAATAAAGTCTTCTTTTGAAATACGGACATTGATTTCACCAGTAAGTCCTCTATTTCCAAAGCAGCAGGAGGCCAAATTCAAACTCCAGAAAGTCCATCTGGGTTTCAGTTAATGAACTCGAGGCATCTTAAGTATCAGATAACAGTTCAAACAGCCTAGTGCCAAGTAGCACCTTAACTCCAAAGTACAGCAGAGGTCGACTGAAACCTTCATGTTAGGCATCCAAACACAGGTCTTTGCATATATCTGGAGGTGCTGTCATCTTGATGAGCTTAGCTACATCCTGAGCTCTGCTGCCTTTTAGACAAAGACTGCAAGAGGCTTAAACTCCACCCAGACACGTAGCTGCGTTCAGCCCATGTATAACACACTTGGGTAAAACTGCAAAGCTCATGGGTAACAAAGTGCAAGGAACACAGCTGTCAACTCTCTGCACAATAGCCTACTGACTGTTGTACTTGCCCAAGAAGTAAAGAACTTGGAGAATTAACATTCCCCACCTCCCAGGAGAGGTGGATAGCAGGTTCAAAGTAAGATCATCTTCTATTCTTGCTGATGCCACTGTGCTACAAATGTTGAAATAGTAGAGTAACAGCAGCTTAACTTTGCATCTTGGGCATTACCATGAACATGGGTAGCCTTGTTACCAATATTACTGAGTGAGCAAAAATAAGAAAGAGAAAAGCAACCTGCAAATCATAAACTCAGCAATGGAAATTCAGAAACTTTTGGTTGTATTTCAAGTGACTGGAGAAGTTATAACAACTTTTCTGAGTGTTAGAATGCCACCAGCTAGCACAAGAAAGAAGCAAACATAGTCATTGTTCATTTCCTGGTAAACTCCCGGCAGAAAGAACTGTGGTAACAGAAGTCTGCTAATCTTTATTGACGTCTTACAATCCCAGCCATCATCCGTCTTAGTCTCAAAAGGGAGATCTGTTTCATACCTTTCCAAAAATAATCCAAAAGTCCACCCCTGCCTCAGAAAAGTCTTGGCAAGGCATGGTGTCTTCAAAGGTGGGCTATCCAGTAGTAGTTCCTCCACCTGTTCCTTGAACTTTACTGGTAAAATCTAATAAAATTTCTCAAGATTCAGCTCATTTATGGGGACAATGCTTAAAGATCTAAACAGTGAGAAAAGGAATCCAGTGCAGGTGAACCACTGCATAGAATCAAGTGTTGGAGAGCAAGAGTGCCTGCCCAAATCAGTGGCAATAGAGTTCCTCAATTCAGCACCCCAGTGAGGCATTTTTTAGCCTGCCATAGTCCTTTGCTGAGGTCCAGCTCACTGTAGAATATTTTACTGTAATAGTCATCTCTCAAATGTTGAGTTACCTTGATATCAGCTTATAAATGTCATCTTCTAGGTGCAAGGATAAAGGCAATGGACAAAGCAAAAGCTTATCAGTGCTACTTCTGCCAGTTCTGTAACTGTTAATTCCTCTTCAGCTTCAGAAAAATTATGATTTCTTACATATCACATGCACAATTTTAGATACAGGTCAAACCCCATATAAAATTATAGTGCATTTTAGGCTGGAGGTCATCTCACCCAGCTTCCTGCTCAGAGCAGAACTATCTTCAAAGTCAAATCAGGTTGCTCATACCCTTGCTCTATCAAGTCTTGAAAATCTCCAAGAGTGGAGATTCCATAACTCCTTTGGGCTGCTTCTTCTGTGTTTAGCCACTCTCACTGTGAATTTTTTCTCCTTCTATCCAATCAAAGTTTCTCTTTTTGCAGCTTATGGCCATTCTCTCTTGTCCTTTTCCTGTTCACCTCCGAAAAAAATTCTAGTTCCACCTTCTTAATAACCCCCCACTCAGTGAAGCATAGGGATTACAGCCTTTCGCAGTGTTCTCTTCTTCAAGATAAAGAATCTGAGTTCCTTCAGCCTATCTTTATGTCATATGCTCCAGCCCCTGGAACCATCTTGGTTACCTTCTTCTGGATACTCTTCAGCTTCTAAGTATCTCTTGCATACTTGGGAGCCCAAACTGGACACAGTATTCCAGATGTGGCCTCGCAAATGCCAAGTAGAGGAGAAAAATAATTTCCCTGCACCTGCCGGCAATACGCTTGTTAATGTAGCATGGTATGTGGTTAGTCTTCATTACCTCAAAGGTGCAGTGCTGACCCTCGTTCAACTTTTTCATTGGGACCCACAGGTCCCTTTTTGCAGAGCTGCTACCTCATTAGTTAGTCCCCAGCCTACACCATTGCATGGGGTTTTTTTGTCCTGGGTGCAAGACTTTGTCCTGTCAGCCCATTCTCCAGCTTGTTCAAGGTCTCATACAGCAACCCTGTCCTCCAGCACATCAGCTACTCCCGCAGTTTCACATCATGCGCGTGCTGGGGGTGCATTCCAACTCATCATCCAGATCACTGAGTATGTTAAACAGCATAAGCCCCAATATTGCTCCTTGAGGAACACCACCCATAACTAGCTGCCAGTAAGATTTCAAACTACTGACTGCAACCCTTTTGACCCTGACAGTCCAGCCAGCTATATGTAGCTGTAGTCTTCCTATTCTTCCTATTCTTCCTATTCTATATGTAACTTGTAGTCTTCCCACCCAGTTACATTTGGATTTGGCTAGAGGGGTGCCATAAGAGCGCATGTGGAAACCCTAGCTAAAAGCGAGGTAAATGTAGCCTCTGCTTTTCCCTCGTTCACAGAGCAGCTCATTGCATCATAAAAGACAATGAGATGGGTTAAGCAAAATTTGCCCTTCTGCCTTCCCCCTCTCCAGTTTTAGTAATTCAATTAGACTAAGGTTAAGTACTCTACTAGTTTCTTGCGGGGGGAGGGAGGGGGAAGTTGCTTGGTTTTGGAGGATAGCCAAATAGCAGCTGAAATCTTATTCTATCTTCAATGCATTTTTATAACTTTTATGTTCCACTCTTAAGGAAGACAAAAAATGGGCAGTGTTGCATGCGTGTATGAATGTCAGTAACTTAGTTGACCTTGTAACTTGTTTGTGGGTGGAAGAACCTAATCTGTATATTGTTGTGTTTAACTCATCATGTAGTTTATAATGTAACCAATTAGTGATGGGGGCAAGCAAATGCACCCAAACTTTA